CTGGGGACGGTGAGAAGGAACGAGCGAGAGAGAGAGAGAGAGAGAGAGAGGGAGGGAGAGAAGGGGGCGAGAGATAGAGAGGGAGAAATGGAGCGGAGGAGGGAGGTGGGCGAAGCGTGTGTGCGGGAGAGAGAGGCGGTACGGTGGTTGAGTCCGGTCCGACAGTCCGCGTGTTACCCCCAGCCGTAAAGCAGGGCCGCGTTTTCTCGACTTCCGGTTATCTCGTGCCAGCCCAGACGCAGAAACAGTTCCCGAACGAAGGAGTTTCGGGTGATACGCGAGCCCGCGCTTCGGTCATCCCTTCGTTCCCCGCGGGATATCTATAGTGAACCGGAAGTGAACGCTCGACAAAGTGAGATCCTCGAAATAATCCAGAGATCGCCCGACAAAATTTTTTCGATCTCGTGAAGGTGAGTCGATCGATCGTTTCTCTCTCTTTCCCTCTTACTATCTTTTAACGGAACGAAGGCGATAACAATGGCGAGAATAGAAAATTGAGAATTGATGATCCGGTTAATTTTTAATATTCCTTTTGGTGAACTGGTCGACCAGTTTCTCGATCTTTATCTGTGAACGAATTGAGAGATTTAAAAGAAGAAGAAAAAAGGAAGAATAGGGAAGAGTTATTATTTCTTAAAAGTCGAGAGTGATAAAATTCTTTCGTAGATTTGTTAGTGGAAGCGGTTAAGTTTACTTGAAAATTGAGTTGAAAAGTTTCGAATAATAAATCTATTTTCCAAAGTCGATACACGGATACCGTTGCACAAAAATACCATTTTGAATACTTGGTCAGAAAAAAATTTCAAGATTAAAAAAAAATAATCGCAGAAACTTTTGTACCAGACGCCGGTTTGCTTTCGTTAATGAGGCTCTGCTAACGAGCTGAATCAGGCACAGGCAACTGTTTACGCGTAATGTTTGACATTCTTCCTCCTAGACGCGAGAAAAATATTCTTTCTTCACCTTTTCGAAAACGATCATCATATTCTTCCTCCTCGATGTATATAAATTTTTTCGAAAGAAGAGCTCGATCGATCCTCGACATCGATCCTCCCAAGAGTTTCGATCTTCGAATTTATCCGCGCTAGATTTCGACGGGGACGCTAAAAATACCGAGGAAAAGAAATTTCGCGCCGATTCGATCAACCGGAACAGGTCGCAACTTTTTCGATTCGAGACGATTCGTCTCCCCCCGTTGCGTTCTGGTCGTGGGAAGAGAAGCGAGCGACAGTTTCCGCCACACGAAATCCCCCTTCCGCTCGAAAAGTTTTAGTGGCCGCGCGCAAACATTTCGCCGAGATCGATCTCGGCTCTCTCGTGCATTCCAATCGATTCGACTCCGTCCAATCTTTGGAAAACAAAAAAAAAAAAGGAAAAGAAACGCGGTATTCTCGCGAGATAAAGGGAAAGCAAGAAATGACGTGTTTCTGGATGTCCGGTTCTTTTCTTTCGATTCATGCTTCGCCCCTCGATCCATCGCTTTCCCCTCCCCTCGGTTCGTTTACATTTTTCTTTTCACCGCCGCCGTCCTCCTCCCAGGCCTCGATCACGTACTCCATTGACTGGAAAATCTGATCTCCCATCGGCCCTGAATATTTTTAACCCGATGCAAAAAATAATCGGCGAATATATCACCTCGCTTACGTGTTACTCCTATGAATAAATATCCCGTCTGCCGCGCCTGTTCTCATCAATTTGGACGGGCGATCGCCCCCGTTCACTCGTACACACCGTCGTAAATCTTGGTCAGAATAATCATCGGCCGGCCTCGTGTTAATAAATCTTTATTAATCGATCGATTTTTACTCTCCTCCTCCTCCTATTATCTTTATGACGTTTTCGCGCTTTGAAAATACCGACACCAATAATAATTTTCATCTCCTCCTCCTCGGATGAACTTCTGACCAAATAAAAACCTTTCTCTCGAAGGTGAAGGATTCTATTTTTTTTTTTTTTTTCTTTTAGTTAACTCAAAGTTTAGTTTAGAATTTCAAATACGGATCGATTATTTTATTTTAAGCGGCGAAACAATAAATAATGATCGTGCAACAAAAACGTACGTTTTTCTTCCTTCCTTAACGAAACGGAAATTTGTTATCCCTGCGAGGATAGCGGGTGAACTGCGTCGGTTTAGGGGACGCATCGCGCTTTTCTTATCATTAGACGAGCGACTTTTCGTAAAAAGTTGTTTATTTATTCGCGAAGAAACAGTTTTGATGATGAAGCTTGAGATGTTGAAAAGAGACAAGATTGAAATATTTAATATTTCGTGCTGTAAAATTTCAGAAATTTCTCGCCGATATTTGTTGTTACGCATGATTCGACTAACTAATTCGCCAAGCAGATAGAATTGTTACGCAAGATAAGAGAAAGCTGCCGATTCGATTGGATTGATAAGAAAAATTGATAAAAAAAGAAAAGCGATTAAATCGATCATCGTTCGTCGTCCAGGTGAACAGATAGGATCCAGAAGAAACTTTTCGTCAAGATTATTCTTCTTTGGTCGATTATATCTTCGTTCGTTTTGGTTTTCTTGAGAAGAGAGAAGAAACGGTTTGGACTCGGTCGATGGAATGGTGCGTTTTGCCGCGACAAAGAAATGCGCATAAATTAGAAATCCCACGGTGGAAACAGCTTGGAAGTAATCGAGATTAAACCGAGGCTTCTCGTGAAGGCGATTTAGTAGACTCCAAGATCGCTTTTTACGATACGGAGAACGACTTAATTCGTGCGTAACCTTGGCTTTTATAAATCTCCCTTCATCTACATCCGAGTCCCGGCTACTTATTCTGAATTTCTTTCTGCCGCCTCGAATGAGTCACGGCGTGGGCCGCGATTAAACTTATTATTACGCTCGCGTGTCGTGTCGAAACGTGTGTCGAACGATCGTCTACGCGCACGAAACTCAAATCATTTAAGTCTAATTCGCGCTAGATTTCCAATATATCCCTTTGCGAACCCACCAGTTTTCTATCTGTGGTGGAAAAAAAAGAACACTTTTCGCAGAGATTCCGCGTCACGCACGTTCGATCGAATTATCGCGTACAAGGAACGAATTACCACGATAAAAATTCCTCTTATATCGATTATTTCGAAAAAGGTATTTCCACCGTGTTCAAAATTCTTTATCGAGGAAAAAAAGGAAACGATAAATTTCTCTGTCTCCTTGCACAGATTGGCGACAGAAGAACGGGAAGATGGAAGAGGAGTGGAAGGGAGAGGGGTGGATCCGGCCGGTGGTTTGATCCGTCCATTGCCGTCCATCGGCGGGTGGAGAAGTTTTGAAGAGCTAGGGAGTTCCGCGGGACCCGGCAAATGTGGCTTTGTGCACGGTGAGCCGGGGTTACGGGGGCCGTGGGGCCCGTGGCGGCGGGGGCAGATCCCGTGGCGAGGCAAGCGTGAGGCTACCCCTCAGCCCTCGCACCCTGTGCGCCCCTGGGGCCGGAGGTGGCGCACATGTCCACGTACAGGGGACTGGACCCGGAAATAATCCCGCCACCGAGGAGGGATCCGGCCTTCCGGACGAGCCGATGGTGAGCCCATAATCCATCTGTCTTTCTTTCTTTCTTTAGTTTTCTTATTCACGAAAATTTGTTCGATCGAATTAATTTTCTCCCGTTCGATCCTCCTTCGGTTTCACCTCGCTCATCCCCGACGTCTTAACGTCTATAATCCGGCATAGTGTTGACGTTCCATTTCCCTCGACATTCCTTTTCCATTCCCCCTGTGTTTTCCCGATTCTCTTGCTAATAGAAACGACTCTCGAAGGCTTCTCCCGTATTAAAGCAATTTCAACACAACTTTCTTCTCAACCGCGCTCTTCTACGGGTTCAACTTTGGGTGGCATTTCTTTCGTTGCATTTATTTATCGAATCGCACACAATCTGATCGAAGAAACGTGCGTGCATATCGATTATTATTTCCTTTTTTATTCTTTTCTTCCCTCAAGGAAGATTTTTATTCGATTTATACTCGATCGTTGAAATGTATAGGTGCACGTGGAGAGGGCCGCGCAGCAAGGTACCTGGATATGCTGCGTGCCGTGTTACTGGCTCCGACGAAGTAAGGCCGTGCACAAGGCGCTGCTCACGTTCGCGATGCTGCTCGTCACCAGCCTGCTCGTCACCAGTCCGGTCCTCTTCCTCATCACCACGCTGCCCGAGGGGGAGCAGCCGCGTGAATGCCTGCCGTTGGTGAGCGACGACTCTACCCTTTAATCCCCCCGAAACGATTGTTTCCACGATCCCAGGCGAGACCTCTTCACCTTTTCAACGCCTCCTTCCCCCTTTGTCCCTTTTCTTTCTTTGTTGGAATTAGGATATCGCGCCAACTGTTATTCCCTCCCCAAAAGTTACACTTGTTTTCTTTCTTTCTTCCCTTCTTTCTTTCTTTTCTCTCTCTCTCTCTCTCTCTCTGAACATTACACGAGTTCTGTATCTATTGTGAACAGAGGAGAGGAGTTGATTGATCGGGAACGCTGGTTTCAGTTTTCTTCATCATTAGATGCGGGGTTGGTCCATGCGTTGTTTATACGGAAACATATGTACTTTTCGAGAAAATCATATAGAATATAGAATGTTTCGAAAGGGAGAGATCAGCGTTTATTTCTCTAAATCGCGTGCTTAGATGGATAGAAGATGGAAATTTCGAGGCGTGACGCGGTTTGCCGAAAAATAAGATCAGACGGAAATTCTTGAACGATATTTATTTCGGCTGAGAGACGATCCGAGATGTAAAATCTCGTAAAACGAAAGTTGGATCGTAAAGCGATGTATACGGATCCGACGCGTCATCCTTCTTCTTCTCGTTGTTGTATTCTTCTGAAATATGGCTCCCTTCGAACGCTAAAATATCGTTGCCTGCCCCGTTCTTTTAAGCGGCGCATCGATTCCTCGCTTCCTTTATTGCAACTTTATCGTGCCATGCCACTCGTGTTTCGGCTCTTATTCCTTCAGACACGCTCTATTACTATTACTATTATTATTATATTATTCATTGCACCAATTCGTCTCGAAATTAACTCTAATTTGTAGATTTCATAATTTCATACATGAAATGAATTTCGATCGTTCATAATTGTCGTGATATTTCTGAATCAAAGCAACGATTATACTTTTGCAGAACAAACGTTGTTTCCTCCTCCTCAAAAAAAAAAAAAATACGAGACTTTCGGCAAAACACGTTACAGATCTATTTTTCTTCTTCTTGCGATCGACGAATAAGAACGATTCCCGTAATAGTTAGTGTAACAGGTTTCGAGAGTCGAACAGTCCTCCCTGAAGCGCTTACATCGCGTCGGCAAAGCTGTTAGAGTCGCGACGAGCGGGAATCCTCTCTGGAAATTTTCGTCCATACGTCTCGACGATCCGTGGAAAAAAAAGGAAAATGAAAGAAAATTCCCCAAAGGCGATTTTTCGCTTCCTTACTTCCTTGCTCGTTCCGAGGCGAGTTGGAGGGAACGTTTGCCAGATATAAATACGGAGAAGGAATATTTCACAGTCGTTGATTCGAGATTTCTTTTTATTTTTTCGTGAAGCGGGGGTAATAAGTAACTCTTGCCCGATAAAGTAAAATCTTCTCCTAGCCCGGTGTTCGTTATTATTGAGAGGCGAGTTCAGGCGAGATTTTGTAGAAATGTTATTAGGAAATATGTATACTCTCGCAAGAGTGGTTATAATTCTCGAGATTAAACGAGTAAGATAATAAACGATTTGGAGAATAAAATTCCTTCTATTGTCGAAAAATAAAATAAAACTCTTCCCGGAGACAGTTGTTCCTCGACAACAGCAATTTTAACATTTTACTTTGACGAGTAAAATAAGATTATATAGCGAGGAGTAACGATGACTGATTCGAGAGCTTTCTGAACGATTGTTTTTTACGCTTGCTTTGAGAACAATATTGCCATCGACTCTTGGAATAGGAAAAAAATAATCTTGGAGAATCGCTCTACTTTATCAAGTTTGCTTTTAACTTTAAGATCTCTACTCGCTCTCTCGCTCGATCTTCTAATTCTCGATTTCCGTGTATCGGAATGCGAAACATACGCGAAACTTTTTCCATCGATAGATGGAGAGCGCGATGTAAATCTCAATTGGATTTGACGCGATCGCTGTTGGTGGAAACCTTCAACGAGGCTAAACGCGTTGCATCCGATGTTATTCTCGCACGAATAATAGCCGTATAATTGGTATCAGTTCGCAGTTATCCTTATAAGGTTTCCCAATTAACATTAAGCAAGTCTATAATTCAGTTAAAGATCCTTGAATACGACGATCGTAATTCGATATTCTGACAGCCTCGATTCTGTACACCCGTTTCGAGTTTATTTTTTGGAATTTTGGATTTGTTCGAATTTAGAAGAAAAAAAAAAAATAGGAAGGAAAAAACTTCGATACAACTCGTTTAACGAGAAATAATTCGCTCACACGTTGTGTGACCGAGTACAGTAATTAGAGCCGAGCTATTAAAAATTTCTCCGTTTTCACAGTCAACATTAATCTTACTTCACTATTTACGTTGCGTGCGTGCTCGTGGTCGTGCAATAAAAAAAAAAAAAAAATAATTCGCAGGCCATCGACGGTGGATCAAAGCGAGACAAAGCTACGTTTGCGAATTCGAGAAAAAAAAGGGGGTTAAAGGCCGGTGAGTATAATCGTTAACGTGGGATCGATCGATTGTCTCGCGGAGAGGCGAGAATAAACTGTGAAACATAAAAATAGATCGCATCGAACGAGCGGCCTCTTCCACGGAAATTTATTAATTCCAGTGGCGAGGTATTATTGGCGGAGGGAGGGGAGAAAAAAGAAGAAGGTCGCAACTTTTAAAATTATTTCATTCCACTCCTCTGCTCGAGTAAATTGGGGAGTGAAAGGTAGGGGGACGAGGTAAGGTTAATGATAGAGCGTGGAATCGGTTTGGAAATTCGTGTTTGAATTTCGACGCCTGGACGACGGTGTATAATTATCATTAACGTCCCATCCAAAATTTCAAGGATAACGTTTATCAATTTTGCTTGGTTTAATTAACACAGAGACACCTCTTTGTCATCGCTTTGTAATCAACTGCTTGCAAATACACGATTAAATTTGCAAGCGATGATATCCGCCAAGATTTGGGGAATTTTATTCTATTCGCGCTTTTATCCAATGCTGTCGTGCATGCGAAAGCGGGCCGACCAAACCAATTTTCCTTAACCGCGTATCGATTTAAATTTTTCAACGGCTCGTCGAAATTGCTCTTATTAATTCAAAATTGATTTTTCCCGAATTCCTCGAGTTCCAACAATTTGAAAACCAAACCAGGCAATTTTATTTTCCTCCTCAATGAAATCAAATTTTCAACGGATCGATTCTTACTCGCTATTCGAAACGAGATCAGATCGGAATCATGATATATCGCGTACGAATTTCGCTCGAATTGGAGAATCCCCTCTTTGTCGAACACCCATTTCGAGGGATTGTTAACGAGCAGTAGAAAAGCGTTGGACGTAATCCGTGATCAATTAACCGGTTCTTTTCGGCCGCGTCTTCCCTCGGCTTCAGCCTGTTAATAAGTAGATTGCAGATTGTAATTACAGCTGCAAGGGGTAGTTAGTGGGATTCGAAGCAGATTGCCGCTCGAATATTCCGGATGTAGTTAAGGGATTGGTTATATCGATGTAATATACCGCTCGCGTTTCCTTCATCTTAAGCTGTGTCTCTTAATTGCCTTAAGTTCTACGTGTCGAATATATCGTTCGTTTGCCGCCATAATGGGGGGGAGGGGGGGAAGAGGAGGGGGAAAAAAAAGAACGAGAATATTCGAGTATTTTTAATCCCTTGCAAGAACGTGTGGGGACGTGATATTAACTTTATAAATATTAAAATACGCGTATTAAACGCGAGAAGAAAGATATGCGTAATAACGTATTTGTAATTTATATATAATTATACACGTATAACGTGAAAGGTATATATATATATATATACACGAAAATCCGCATTATATTACGTTATTCTGACATTGAATAAAGTAATATGGAAGAATAATCGCATTGAATTGTAACATATATTTTACTTGAACCTTTAATGCCTTTAGTCACGACGAATATATGTATATATTCAACGTATATTACTTAAGAAATTATTAAAATTTATGAAATTTATAAATCGTTGAACAATTGGAGAAATTTCAGCGAATACGTGCGTAATAACGCGACACGGAACATTTATATTTACAAAGATTTCGATTATTCAAAAACAAAAATCCTGTAAATCCTGACGCCATTTTTGCACCGTGCGCGCAATCTGAAATATTCACCGAGTTTTTCCCCCGAGTGTCCCTCTCGAAACGTTCGTCGACGAAACGAGGATTAGGCAGAATGCGGAGAAAAGATGGCGGAGAAAGAGGGCCTCGCTAGATTTATTCGACGTTTGATATTCAGCGTGGACGACAAATGATGGATTCGAATGCTATTCCCGTGGAGGATTCGCCAAGTTCGACCACGGGTCGTTAGAGAGAGGTATGCGCGAAGCCATACTATGCGGTAAGGTTTCGAGGCAAATGTCAACCCTACGCGAGGTCAGGGTTTCACCCTTCATCCTGACCTTTATCTTTCACCGCTCGGACACTTTTGACCCCCGATGGGAAATCCCTCCATCTTCCTTCCAACTTTCCTTCAACTTCGTCTCTCATTTTTTTCACGTGTGCGTGAAAATCGAAGAGAAAAAAAAGAGAGTATTATCGGTGTATTTCTATAGATGTGTGTATATATAGTCTGTTGTTTATACGTGGATTGGCGTGTGTTTTATTGAAAGTTAACACGGGGAATTGCGCGAATTGCAACGCACGGTCCAATCAACACGCGTACAGTGATGCTTTTCGAGCCGCTGAGCGAGAAAAGAAATTAATTCTACTTTAGATAGATAGATTCGTTATTAAGAAGAAACATTTTATATAAGAACAATGCTTATTCTTTTGTTCGATGTAATGCGCACGATGTAAAAACCTTGTTCGAAACTTTCGCGAAAGAAGAATACTCTTTGTCGTGGAGATATATTACGAGAAAAGTATTAGAAATTCGTATCGAAGCGCGTCATCAAAGGCGTGCCAAAGTTTCTCGCTCGCATTCTCCACGCCATTTGGCACGCTTCCTTACGCGTAACCGAGCTTCAATCCCGAGAAATTCTCCCCGCATACTTGAGCCCATACGTTCCGAATCGAGGCGAGGATAAATTATCATCTCCACCTTATGGCGGAGCAGAGGACACTTTGTGCGCGTCGAAGCACGTGGAATACGAAATCGAAAAGTTTTTCCGGGCCTAATTTCATCCCATCTAAGCCGAATTCATTCTCGTGTCGAAAACCGTGTCAAAGAAGCTGTTTCCTTTGCGTATCCAATCCCCTTCGAGAGCTTTCCTTTCCTTTTTCGGTTTCCTGTTAAAGAATCCGAAATTCACGGACGACTTGGCGAAGAATTTCCGAAAGCTGAAATCTTTGAATCGCGAAAGCTGGGTCATCTAGCCGGATGCCTGCTCAGTCTCGAAGAATTTTCATCAGAGAATATTTTCATGGACGATGTAGAGGAACATATATATATATATATATATATGCAAAGAAATATAGTTGGTTTGGAGGGGAGAGGGGAACGGTGATCGAGTGCACGAATGGTGTAATGAGTTGTGGTGAAACGATATTTGCGAGATCGTACTTGTTTCGACTCGATTACAGATAGCTACCTGCATAGATTTTCTTACGATTTAGATCTCGATCCTTCTACTTTTTCACGGGTGAAAAATTCTCGAGAACTGGGTCAGAACCCTGGTTAATTTCACGCAACCACGTCCGGACGAGATCCAACGTCATCGTTGGCGAAAGGATCATCATCCGTCTCTGTCAAGAAAAGGCGCATCCAGGCAATTGACGACAATGAAAATCGTCGACGTGTAGTTGCGCAGCCCCTTTCGTTAGGCCCCTCAAATTTTTAGGTTAACTCTTTGGACAGGTTTTCCAGGAAATAAGTCGAGACCGATCCTTCACTTCCCCTTTCCTCCACGCCTTTCTTTCCCTCTTATTTATCTTCGACCGAGTCTCCGAGTTCGCGTCAAACCATTCGTCTTTTTCAAGAAAGACGTATGATTTCGCTTCGCGAGCGCTCCCCCGACGCATTAAGGAACAAAGGCGCGTGATCTTTATATTTGAAGACGAATCGAACGAGTTTCTTTTTTTTTTTTCCATCCACTCGCGGAATAAAAGAAGATCAACCAAGATTCCTCGTTAGAATTCGTCGTGTGTTTTTCTTTTTTCTCAAATCTTTCTCCAATCGTCCCGAAGAAGGGAAGAGAATAAATCGAAGAAAACTGTACTTGTTCTCTTCGATTCGTAAAAATGTTACACGCGATATTAGACGAGGAGGAGGTCGTGGAATGGGCAAATAAAGCGGCGTGTCGGTTTCAATTACACTCTACGTATCGTATCGCGCTAAATAAATTAAATTAAGAAAAGAGAACAGTGTTCCTGCGCGATAAAAATTTTACGACGGAACATTTGAACCGTCCTGCCTAAGAAACGTATCCTTGACCTCTTGCATTAGCAAAATGATTCTCAACGTTATTTCTCAAACTTTATTCCTTTCATCCTCGTTATTGCACCCGCCTCGCCTTCACCTTCGTGCAATATAATACATATTAACCCCCCCTCTAATTCTTTTGTATCGATTAACGACCGCCCATAAGGGGATCCAAGTCGAGAATCGTTCCTCCCAGTCCTTCTGGATTAAGTTGGAGGCTAACGATATGAAAAAAAAAAAAAAGAAGAAAGAGAGAGAATACGATTTTGATTGCAGGACGAGGCCTGTATCAGAGAGAGGGATGGCCAGGAGGGTTTGTGCGACTCGAAAGCCTGCGAGGAAGCCTCGAAGCGGATGGTGGCGTTCATGAGGAAGGGGATGGATCCTTGCAAGGACTTTTATCAGTTCGCGTGCGGCGGTATCCGCGATCAGCAGCCGTATCAACCTAGCTCGAGCTTCAACATGCTCCAGGCGAAGGTTGACGATCATCTTCACAGTGAGTCAACCCATTCTCCTTCCTTTCTTCTTCTTCTTCTTCTTTTTTTCCATTAAGACACCCTTGGAAAGTTATTCGAGAACTCTGTTTGCGAACCTCTTTTCCGAACGAAGGAAAATAGTTACGTGAATATATATATATATATGTTACGTGATATCCATCCACGTTTAAGATAATAATAATAATGATACTTCTTTGTTAACGAGCTTTCACGAGCTTGTTTACGTTAACTTACAATTAAACAGAAAAGAAAAGATGGAGTAAATTAATGAGTAAATGGAGTAAGAGTTTTAGAATTGTGGATGAATCGCAAACATTTTTACAATGTTAACAACAAGTTAAGCAGAGATACAAGATTTTTTTCACGACATTTCGTTCGTCGATCGATAAAACCAAAATTTGAATGTCGAAATTAATTTCTTGCCAATTAATTATTGAAAAAAAAGGGGAGAAGAGCGAAGCTTTCCCACCAACTTCCAACTCGAGCACTCGAGGAAGGGATAATTGATTCAGAAGCGTGGGCAAATTTTCCCTCCGTCATTTAAACTTTCAATTAACCAAACGCTCAGGAGCGTATTCGAGACGAAACTTTCTTGATCGGCCCCCGCTTTCGAATCAATTCGCATCATCATCGCGAAACTCTTACTCGTCGAGACACATCCCCTCCGCTCTTTCCGCCAACATTCTTCAAGATCGATTCATTTCTACTTTTCCCTTCGATCCTCGTCCTACGATCACGAAATGCGACGAAATGTCGGCCGTCGTTTAAAAATTTCCTTGCTTTTTCAATCCGCTCCTTTCCAATCGTATCATCTTGGATCTCTTACGTAATCTGTTGCCTCAACTATCCTATTTTTTTTTTTATTGGCTTCCACCACGTGGGTTAACCGAACGAATCTCGAGAAAGAGAGAGTTGAAATTGAGCATGTTTAAATTTATCGATATTATGTGTTTGGACAAAATCTAGTCTTACTTACGTCCACGATTATTTTTTCTTCGCTATTTCTGAAGATATTGTTGGGATTACTTTTCAAGTATTCGCTTCATTATACTCGATCGAGTTCATCGGGTATAATATTTGAAAAAAAAAAAAAAAAAGAAATTAAAATTCTCTCGAAGAGATAGAGAAATGGAATTCCGGGATATTTATACGAGGTCTCTAATTCCATTATGCAATCGTTTCCAAATCCAATCAAATATTTAAAAGCGGGATATTAAAATACTTTCGAAAATGAAATTTTCGCCCCGGAAATAAACGATTGTCCATTCTGAAGGATTAAAAATATTTTAAAAGTATTCACTACGATATGGAATTAAAATTAATTCCCAGACGTATCGTTAAAATATCCATTCGTTTTCGCTCTCGATCGAAAATTCGCGTTCGTTAAACGAGACGAATTATCGAGATTCCAATATATTTCGCGGCGAGTACGTGCGAGTAAACAGAAGAGACAGAAGAATCGGGGGGATATGTAGGTCATACGCGATTAAAAGAGCTGGACGTGCATACGTCACGATGCGCTGACGTAGGGGATGAAAAACAACCGGGTGCCCACTCTGACGAAACAACATTGTGGAAAAAAGTTCGAATCGTTTCGCTCGACAAATTGTACAAATTGTGTCCAGATATAATAATTTCACCCGAAATTTTGGAAAAACCATCTTCGAAAAATCTATCCATCGACGACTTGGATTTTCGATCAGATAACATAGCGACGATCGTGATTACGTACGTTCATCGCCATCGCGGTAAGAATTTTCACTGCTTTGCTCGGAAAAAATTTGATAAACTTAATGTCGAGTTGTTGAAGTTTTTATTCGAGATTGCAAATTTAAACGTTGGAAAGAAAATTCGTTTCCACGAATAATATTCCATCTTTCGCTAGGTCGTTTCGTAGAATTCTTTGGTTGAAGGTTTCCTCTCTTTAAAGAAAGAGAATCTGCTTCCCTAAACTCGAAGGGTGTTCTTTTTTTTGCCCCTTCGTTTTGGATGAAAGAGGGAGAAAAAGGTCGACGGAAATGAAGATTTACAGGGACGGAGAGTCTATGAAAAAAAGGCGCGGCGTGCTCAAAGAATGACACATGGACATTCCGCGTAATAATTCATCGCTTCTCATTTTTTTCGCGCGAACGAAGCACTCATTCGAGCTTGTAAATCTTTCTCCGTCCAGCATACGAATGGAGATCAACGCGAAAGAAAGGATCACCCCATTGTGTATTTTTTCGATACGACTTCTGCTTCTTTTCTCTTTCTTTTTTTCTTTTTATCTCTCCAAAGCGAAACGAATATACATTTTATGAAATTGTTCTCGACCGACAAAAATGTCCCTCTAAGAATAGAAACACTTGGACAACCGCTCGTCACGCGGTCATTTTCTCCTCGTCGCTTATCATTTTTATTTCGACCAGAAACACAGAGAGAGAGAGAGAGAGAGAGAGAGAGAGATGTGCCATCCGACATTCGAGCAACAAAAAGAAGGACGGGAGAACGGAATCGAGAAAGTTTGACAAGAGTTTAAAAATCAACTTCTTCGCGTACACGTACACGACCGGTTGGCGCCACCATTTTTTCCAAATTTCTCATCAACCAGAAATCTCCTTTGGCTCTCGTCTTGGAAACACGCTTTTTTCATCTCGATTCCTCTTGCTCAGGAATCGCGTTGAATCAATCAATCAAAATGTCGAGTCGAGCATTCCTTTGGCCAAATTTTTTTTCCCGGGGATCGTCCTCGATGGATGTTTCTTGCAAAACACTTTTATCTTAAAGATTTTTAAACAAGATACGTCCCTTTTTCAGATTCTTTGCAATAATATTTTTCCAATCGATCGATTGAAATTGAAATAGCAGGTGTTCTTAACAGAACTCCTATATTTATCGTTTTCCGTTTGTGCACGTCGCACAAAGTTCTATTCCAAACGTAGAGGCAGTAATTGTAACTGCAATAAACTTAAATACATATATTAAATACACTTACTGCAATATCCTTTGCTCGCGTCTTCTTTCAAATAAGCGAATGAATGACGCGTTGGAAAGACGAGCATTAGAAAGATGGAATATTCTGTTCCACCATCAACGATACGATACCAATGGAAACCTGTATCGGTTCGAAATCGTCTCGTACGTATCTTCGTTCCTGGAATATTGGCGAAGCCTTAGTGCCTTATGTAGAATTTACGTAAGAACAAAGAAGAGGGTTACAAACTTGATTAATCCAACCTGCTTAATGGATCAAGCTCGTCCCGTTAAGCTAGAGTCACGTCGAAGGTTCCCCCTATAATCGATTCGATTTTACGATTTTCCAATTATACATATCTAATGAAATCTAAACGTCGCAGAGATCGATCAATCGCACACTTTTTCCATATCCCGTGGCGGGTGACGTGAACGTATCTCATAGGGATCTTTCATTCCACGTTCTCAAAATTTCGAAAAAAGGAAAGAAATCTTGTCCTAATTTTTTTCATTACTTTTTTCGTTATACAATCCTTTCAGAGACGATCCTACGGCGTATAGTATTATTATTTCGTGCAACATTTTGCAACTCTGATTCTTGTAGTTCTCGATTCGAAAAATCTGTTTCTGATATGTAAAGGAGATATTAAAGGAGAATATTGTTTATTCTTTTTACTCGGTTTTAGAATAAAACACGATTCGCTTAACCCGCCATTGTTCTTGTTCTTCTCAGCTCAGAAAAAAAATCTTGTCCTAATTTTAAAGATCTATTTCATTTTTTCATTACTTTTTCGTCATACAATCCTTTCAGAGACGTACGCTACGGCGTATAGTATTATCATTTGGATTTCGTGCAACGTTTTACAACTCTGATTCTTGTAGTTCGAGAAATCGATAATCTGTTTCGAATTCTGATATGATACGATTAAAGAAGAATACCGTTTCCTTTTACTTGGTTTTAGGGTTCGCTTAATCCGCCATTGTTCTTGTCTCAGCCGCAAGCGGTTCGTTTCCCCTTTATCTGGAAGGGAGACGTACCGATTAAGCGGGAAAGTTGGTTTCGTATTTCGCAGATTCAACGCGATACGCGGCAACACACTCTGACCGCAAATTCGATAATCTCTCGATCCGAAAGCGAAATTAACTTTATCGTATCGGTGGCCCGCTCCATCTATTTCAATGTATACAATGGAATACGTAATATTTTCGCCGTAATACTTTTCTTTACGTAAATATATCGATGTTTCGTTTGTTCCTTGATGCGCGTCAGCATAAGATTTATCGTAGACTTTACGTTTATTGGTGCTTGACGTATGGGTTTATCGACATACTTCCGTACGAACAAATGCATGTTTATCTTTCTCCAACCAATTTTTAAAACGGGATACTTTTAGAAGTTTATACTATTGTACGTTCGTATCATTTTCTTGCTTGCGTAAGTCAAGTAAGTTATTTGAGAGAATTTATTATTTATAGCATACGTATAGACACACACGTTTATATATATATATAAATAAAATTGTATTTATTTCTTCTTAAAACTTAATGCGTTAAATTGCACTCGTTGTTTCGAAAGGAAGAAAAGTGAAAAGATGTTAAAAATTTTAATAAGCAAATAAAAAGAGAATTCTCTCCCTAGGAGAAGATTCTTTTACGAACGTTTGTTTGTACATTGAAAAATATAGTTGAAATGGAGAGAGAGAGAGAGAGAGAGAGAGATCGAGATTGAAGTTTTGCCGGCAATATTGCCTTCGTATAAAATTTCGTTGTTAATCCAGAATGCAAATTGCAAGTAGGTCTTAAGCGGAATTCGAGTCGCCTAGTTACTGTTTCACGGAAGTTTTGTTTATAACCGCAACGGCGACTCGACTAGAATTTCTGGGCAAATTCAGACTTTATAAGTCCGCGCTATCGAGAATCCCGAGCAACGAGATGATAAAAAATATCGAGACTCTCTCCCCCTTTCCCCCTCCCCCCTCCCTCCCCTCTTCTTATGCAATTCTAACTATTTATGAAGTCTATCCATTTCCATAAATAGAACGCTGCA